GTTCAGCGCCAGCAGTGCCATGGTGAAGAAACCCAGAAGCAAACAGGGATGCGAACCAATACACAGTGAATTTATTAAAAGACAGGGCAAGGAATAATTGCCTTAAGCCCTGAAATTACCTAGTGTCTTTTGAATCATATTTTGAGAGCCATTACCACAGATGTCATTTTTACACCAGGGTGAGGCTGCAGAAATCTCTTTTCCAGGAGAATTCTTACAGTGGGTTAGGCACATTTCACAGGCGGTTAGTACAGGAAGGAAACTTAGAGGCAGTCTAGTCCGCACTCTCTCTCATTCAGGTAGGAAACCGAATTCCAAAAAGGAAACTAACTCCAGTCCCCACCATGGAGCTGGAAACTTGTCAGTGCAGGATTCAGATTGTAAAACTGAGCAACCAGAGCCTTTTTAACAAGATGATAAAAAAATTTAAAAATATAAAAAGTTATATACATGATTCTTTTTAAGTTATCTTCTGGTTTTGGAGCATGTCTCATAGTGTTAAATTGAAAGTAAAATGGAAAAATACATTCTACTGCTTAACCTCATTTTTTTCTTCTGTAAAATGAAAATTAAAAATGAGGGAATAATACCCATTGTAAAGAAAGGAAAGGAGAAAATGTACAACAGCTTGTCACATCTGTGGGCAAACAGGTCTCAGCTGGGGGATGGCACATGCCTATCATTTCAGCCTTCTGGGAGGCTGAGGCAGGAGGACCACGTGTTCCAGCCCAGGCTAAGCAATTTAGCTTCTTAGACTATTTTAATATGGGGGAGGGATGCTAGGGACTTACTAGGGTCTCCCCAAGGGATAGTTAATGATAGCTGTATCAGTTCGGGTTGTTGATTGCAACAGAACCAAGTTCTGGCTGATTAAAGCAGAAAAGCCGATGCTGAAAGGACGCTGGGGGAGGTCTGGAGCCCGGACTCAGACAGGGCAAGACAGCAGGCGGCGAGGTAGCCCCTCTGCAAGCAAGGTCGCCCCCGCTGCTGTGGACGGAACCAGAACCGGATCCACCAGACCGAGGCCCCCGGCCCTGACGGCTGCGCCCCTGCCCGGGTTTCCGAGTGCCGCCCCGGAGAGAGGCCAGGGACTCCACGGCTGTGCTCCAGTGCTGCCCCGGGGACTCCACGGCTTCCGAGGGCCACGCAGAGGGTTGGGCAGGTCCGGTAAGAGTTCTTCTCTTTCCCACCACAGCACGAAGATTCTGCCGGATCTGGAACTGCAGGGCGAACGAGAAGAAGCGGGACGGAGGAGCCGTCTGCGCAGCGGCGAGCCCAGGGCCCGGGACGGCTGGGAGGAGCAGGGGGCTCGGCCTGCCGCGGGCCGAAGAGCCCACGCAATAAGGACAGGACGGTTCTGCGGGTTTACTTTTAGGCTTGCTTCCATTGTTTTAGTTTTAGAAAGGATTCTCAGATGAGGAGAGTCGGCCTTAGTCTTGTCACACCACTGAAATCTTCAAATTTTAAAAACGAGACAGTCGCTCGTGGTGGCGCACGCCTGTAATCCCAGCATTCAAGAGGCTGAGGCAGGAGGAAGATCGTTGCGAGTTCGGGGCCACTCTGGGCTACAAAGTGAGCTCAAGGCCAGCCTGAACTGCATAGCGAGACCAGGTCTCAAAAAGCCTAAATAAATAAATAAATACAAGACAGCAAACAGCTGCCCATTTATGAGGTGTGATCAAAAGCACGGCGAATGCTTCAAGTTTTAAAAATGATCGTTACCGCGCACACACTGCCACTGCCCGCCCCATGCTCCCTCGCTCGGCGCACACTCACCCGCGGCTCCTGCACTTTCTGAAGTGGCTCTGGAGCCCCTCTCCGGAAGCCTTCGGTCGCACTGCTGTGCCGCAGTGCCTCCCGTCCACTCAGACCTCGCCCTTCCCTGTCATTTTGGGAAAGAGCCAGGAGGTCACGGCGTCAGACCCAGTGAATTCCACACCGGACACACGGTAATGCTGGGCGAGCCCGCCTCTCTGCGGACGGCACCAGCCGCCGTGCGCGCTGTGGTTTGATCACAGCTCCCAAAGACACGAAGCAGGACTCAGGAGCTGCTCCGGGAAGGGGCACGGCGACGGGGTAAGGTGCTCCGAGTGAGGCAGGCTACTCGGGGGGGAATTAATTTTCTTGTAACTTTTAAGGGTTAAACACACACCTTGTTATATTAAAAGAAACAACCAATAAATCATTGTGGAAAGTCCAAGCTGACTTCTTTAGTATGACTACCTGAAAATGTCAAGTTCTTAGCAAATAGGAGAAACACATGTAGTAAATACAAACAATACCCACGAATACTCTAGGATTTCTCACGTTGCTCAGGGAAAAGGGCGGTGGATTTTCCCTGACCTTACCCACTCATCACGCATCTGCTTCTCACCACAAGAAGCTTATTAAATGTCTTGTTTTTTCTGGTCGGGTCACTAGAGTAACTCAAGCAAGCGAAACTTAGCGCAGAGCCTGGAACACAGCGGAGTTCAGGGAGCGAGTTTCCCGCTTCCGTGCGGGTGCCTTCTGTGTCCTCCGCAGACGCTATAGTCAGGGGTGCTCGGTGAGCGCCCGATACACACTCACCACGCCGCTGACCAGCCGCGCCTTCCCTCGGCCCCAGCTTCCTTGGTCTCTACCTTATTTTTTCTTAGAGACAAAAGTAAACAAACAAACAAAAAAACCCATGGGGATAAAATAAGCCTTTTTTTTTTTTTTAAAGACAGGCTGTCATTACTATGTAGCCCAGCCTGGCCTCAAACCCATGATCCTCCTGCCTCAGCTTCCCAAATGCCCGGTGAGGGCTTCGTGGTTATAGCGGACTATTTTAAATCACGTGAGCATGATTTGTGAAGCAGTCATTGGAAGTTTCCGCCAATCTCACTGCGCACCGAAGCATCGCGGCTTGCTCTCATCTGCAGGAAACCAATCCGCAGCCGCGGCCGGCACGCGGGAGTGAGCGCGGGCGCGGCGCGGCGCCAGCAG